GGGGGGGCGGCCCCTTCTTCGGGACGCAGAAGCGATCTGGCGACAGGTAAGTCGCCAGGATCGCTTCTGTTGTAAAGCCGACAGTCGGCTCTACAAGTTTAAACAGAGTCCCGGCGGCAAAAGTCGCCGGGAGTCTGTTTAAACAGCACCGATGCTGGCGACGTACACTGTACGTCGTCAGTCACGAAGGGGTTAATAAACATACATTTGACACCTTTAGAATTCTCTTTAATGGTGCTCGCTAACCCTTCTAAGTGTATGTAAAGCCGATACCCCCCCTAAGTATGGAAGAGTTAAAACCTCAAGTTAATCTTTGCTGTCCGTGTCCTGCTGGGGATTTCCTCCTACACTTCATGTCCAGGAGATGCAACAGGAAATTAGATCTCACTAAAGTCAGCAGAACTCCCATCTTAGTGTTTTAGGAACAGGTGTCATTTCAAGATTTTCTCTCCCTTCTCACTATGATGGCGACTCACATTTTGGATTTCCATACACTTTGTGTCCCCTTTGTGGACATTCACCCCTTTGTATTTATGCGCTTCAATGGAAATCTGTAGTGTGAGAAATATATTGCTGACCGCCTCCTATGAGTGCCAAGTGATTGTCTGACTTAAATACTTGAGTCCATGACCTGGAATAAGCTTGCAGACTGGAAAGTCAACTACTTGGCACTAGTTTTGAGTCAATGGCTAAAAGCTTTTGGAAAGGCATGGCAGCCAAGTAAATAGTGTTTTACTTTTTTTAGGGGAGGCCAGCTATTACAACTTCTTCTATATTCTTTCTACAGATTTCTTTTACCAGCAACAAAAGTAGATCTGCATCTTTGGAGAGCACAAATACTGTTAGATCTGTCTTGCTTTCTCCTGTGATGCGTAGTCCTGGTTCTGGGACAGTTTTTTTTTTTTTTTTTTTCTCTGTTTTCTCTTTTAACGTTTTCACTTTTGAATTGATAAAACTATATGAAACCAATGCTTTGTCTTTATGCTTCTGTCTTTCTCATGTGGTGGCGGCACTAAAGGTGCAGTAGTGCTGCGTTTGTTCATTTTTCTATACTCTGTAGAACAGACTATGAAGTAAAAAAATAAAAAAGCATTGCATTAATTTTAGTTTTTGCAGCATTTGACATGACTCTACTGGGGAGATTTCTTTTACTTGCATTCTGTGGTCAGTCAGGAAGTGGTTACCAAGGCCAATTAGATCACATGTTAATGTGGTTGAGGGGGGTGGTTTTACGAGCGATGTGCAAACAAAGTTCACCCAAGCCTGCGTTTCTACTTTTGCCTCTGTACAGGACCTTGTAATAAAGACTGGTCAAAGCTTGCTTTCTGCAGGGTGACTGGTCTTGTATCCACCCCGTCTGTAGTTTTCTTCAGGCAGCCTGTAGTGGATGTGGCCTTCTGGGCCCCACCCACAGCTCTTCTCTGCATAGGCTTTGTGCTGCACAGTGATGTCACTGCTACTTTAACAAGATATTTGGGGTTGCAAAGCCATTTTGAGCAAACAAACTGTATTTAAATGCTTCGTGGTCATGGAGGTGTAAATTTTAAACGAGAGTTTTTTCTGCCTGGAGCTCCGCTTTAAAAAAAATATGTGCTCAAAAGCTAAATCTGCCTTTAAATGCTGTGTATTTTTACTTGGGGGCATATTTATAAAAGTGAATGTAAAATTCACTGCAAGTGAATATTTCTAAAATGCAGGAATACACCTGCAGGAAATGTTTGGTTATTGGCCGATGAATTGTACTGCAGAATGTCAAACCTTATGCCACTGATCACATTTGACTAGCTCTGACTATAGGGAGCTTATTTGTATATACATTTCTTGTCTCTTTTTTATGTTTCTTAGGTGTGTGATGCAATGGGTGTCATAATCTAGACTGAAATGTCATCTGGTTTCCAAACTGAAGATTATGATGTCTTTGAGTTTTATTTTTGTATGTACAGTTTCTTCCCTTTCTAACTTAATGTAAATAACTTTTAAATGCTCTAAATAAAGTAATATTGCGTACCTGGTTTTATCTTTTTACATTATTAATGTGAACAAATGTTAAGGTATCCAGATTGCAGCTTCATAGTCCATAGATATAGTGCTTAATTTGTGGGTCCTGTGTCTCCTCCCTCCCACCACTCAAGGACAAAGTGTTGGTCACAGGATTACCAGTTGCTAATGAAGCCAGAAGTAAAACATCTACCTCATTTTAAGGGCTTGCAAGCTGCAATGTAACTTTTGTTTTGGGGTAGATCAATGTAAAGTATGTCAACCCAGTCATACATCTTTTTAAATATTTGTGCAGACACTTTCTGCTGTAGGATGGCCATGATCTTCCTGTGTTGCCATGTCACGCACTGTCCCAGTGGAGACTACAAAGCTGCTGTATGGTCCCTGTACCGCCTAGCTTTAAAGCAGAACCAGAATTTGTTTTAATATGCAGTGTTAAGAGCTGTGCCACTGTAAAAGTTTGTACTCTTCTGTAATATTTATGCAAACTGGTTGCAAAAGGGCATAAGACAAACCCCCACATTTTATTTATTTAGGCCTCGTTTAAACTGCTGGCAGGCACCATTGCCCTGTGAAAAATAATCCATGGTGGATTGCTTTTCCCAGGATTGTAGAGCAGCAATAATGTCAGGTGTCCTCTTTCATGGTCATGTTTGGCAGGCAGCACAGTCTGTCAAATGCAACATGCTGTATAATTTTTGCCATGGTGACTGCAGTAAAGTATACAACCCTTTTTGGCTGCAATGCAAACATAGCAGTGGGTGGCTAGGTAAAACCAGTGATTGCGAAGCCATGGTTTCTAATTTTCAGACCTATTTAATGACTGGCTTGGTGCTGATAAACTGGCGCAAGGCCAATGTGATGCCTTTAAAGGAGAACTATGAGGCGAGTGCTTTTCACTCACCTCATAGTTCTAGCCGACCTGTGACAAAGACTGTCACAGGTTGGCTCAGTAGATCGGGAGGTGAGCAAACACATACTGGGTTCGCTCACCTCTCAATCCTGTCACGGCTCTCTGACAGGGGAGGGGCTGGATTCCCCTCTCCGATCTGCCAGCGCTGACTGGCGGAACGGATGGGGGCGGGTACAGCTGGCTCTGCCTCTAGATAGGCAGAGCCAGCTGTCACTCACGCAGCTGGGTGGATCTTGACATCGATGTCGGGATCTGCTCCAGCGTCTCAGTATACCGCCAGCTGTAGCTTGCGGTATACTGAGCCTAGGGTGACGGGAGGATGCTAGTTTGTGTCCTCCCATTACCCTAAGGAGAACTATGGGAAAAAGCCCTGACCCCATAGTTCTCAATAGAAAAAGGGATTAAAGTCTCTATCAAACTCTAGTATCTTCCAGCTCTGTAGTTACTAGGTAAAGGATCACATGTTTTTTTTTGCTTAAAAAAAGTGCCATGGATTCACAAGACGGGAAGTGGTCACACATCTATTTTTTTTTTTTTTCTTTTCGAGGAATTAAGCTGGGCAAAGGGGTAGCTGTGAATATAGTATACTTGAATTCTGAAGTGTGTGTAATTTTTATTTTTTTTTCCACTTAGCCCCATGTCATTGGGATGTGACAAGCTCTCTTTATTCATCCAATACAGGAGTTCTAGTGTGAAGGAATATGGATCATATCAGGAAAATGTCCTTTTCTATGTTTTAAATTGTTTTGAATTAGTTTAATTTGCTTCCTAGCTTTGTGACTCTCCTTACTCAGCTTTTAGCGTTGCTATGCGTAACCAAGAGAGATATCCTGTATTCGGGAGCGCGCCAAGGACACATCGGAGGAATGCAGAGGGAGGACGCTACAAGCAGAAGATATCTTTGACTAACCAATTAGTGAGAGACACGAGACTTTAACTAACAGTTCCTCTAGTTTGCCCAATAGTATAATAACAGAGGTGGGCATATGTGTGACGAGCACTCTCCTGTTATCTGTGTATAAAGGAGAGAGACCGCCCTGAATAAAGCAGAATCTTCATAGACCGTTAATTCTGAGTTTGTGATTTCTCCGGTGCACCGTACACAAAATAATTAGAAACAGCAGCAGACATCTTGTGTGAACCCAGTTGTGGTTCAGATCCATTTCA